ATGGCACCCCTGGCAGGACATGGGCGTTCGAGCCGTGTTCGTTGTGGTAGCTTTCGCTACCGCGATGCTGGAGACATTGATGAACTCCATCGAGATGATTGTTGCTGTCTGTACTATTGTACGGGCCTCTTGAAATGGTGCATCAGTTGGAGTACCATATCTCGGGAACGACACAGGTAACGCGAAATCTGAAAAGTGCATGAAAAAGATAATGATTCGATTGTCCGGAATATATTTATACATAGACGTTATGACATGATCGGACGCAGTAAATGGCTTTCAGGCAGAGCGTGCACTTTCAAGGCCCTTTTGGACGCCACCAACTGTCCTCATATACGCATCCTATTGGCCAGTTCACATACCATCTGTATACGGCCTGCAGATCCACCCAGCATCTGGTTAACTGGTTTCAAAATTCGCCCTTGAAGGCCAATCAGAGCACCGTATTCCGTAAAAGTGTCCAGAGTCGTCACCCATTTCTGCCAAATTCACATGCTTTAATGTGTGAATTGTACACAAACGAATTAATCCATAACCACTTGCACTACTTGACTACCAAATGCATACGTTGATAGCACGTATCAAATTATGTGACCCTTCGGAATTTTGGCTCCGTAGCTGCATTGGTCAACGCGAAACCTCGATTGCAAAACAGCGTGCACCATTTCAAGAGGCCCGTACAATAACGTTAGTGCGGTGTCCCTTCGTTGGAGGCTGCTCGATGGTCCACGCGCAGGTAATGTCGCAGGTGGCGTCCGTCGCCAAAGAGATGGCCTCCACTTGTCTTCAACAGCTTCAACGCCCTGCAAGGATAAATACCAATCTATTGCTCCATGCTGCCGGTGCCAGGAAGCAACGAGACGCACGCAGTGGTGTCCGTACAGGGTCGCTTACAGATTTATGCCCAGCGGGGAAGCTTGGTTTTGCCAGGGTACACTTGGTCAACGAATTCGTGCACATCACTGGCGGCCTTGGCCCGCGCCATTTCATCGGCTTGCTTCTCGTCGAGGGCTTCCATCGCGCCGCGGTGCGCGGCTTCATGCATTTCGCGTTGCTGGAGCTGCATGCGGGCGACGATCATCGCCTCTTCTTCCTCGAGCTTCTCAAACGCCGCTTGCTCTTGCTTGTGCTTGAGCTTCAACGCCGCGCGGGCGCGGGCGTGGCGATTGAGCGCGTACTCATTCTGAAATGCGTGCTTCTCCGAGAGGTGTGTTTTGTTGCGCTGGTGCTGTGACAACAGGCACTTCTCGTCGTACTGCATGCGGTCGTCGAGCTGGTCCTGCGCCGGCGAATGCTTCGCGAGCTGCTCCGTGATTTCGGCCGCATTGGCTTCGAGGAAGCGTTTCTTCTCGTCAGCGTGGCGCGCGCGAAGCACCTCGAGCTCATCGCAGTGCTTGATCTGGAGCGCGTGCCAATCGTTGTCGTCAAAGCGCAACGTCTCCTTCGTGCGCTCTTCTTGCTCGAGCGCGAGCGCTGCATCCTCGCCTTTCTGCACTTGGGCGAGCAGTGACTGCTTCTTCTGGTGGTACGCCTTGAGGTAGTCCATCTCATGCTGCTGCCGAGACAGGAGCTGCGACCTCTTGGAGCCTTGGGCTGAGTCGAGCGCTTTGGTCTCTCGCCCATGGGATTCGCGAAGCGCGTCCTCTACGCTCTGCTTTCGGATGTCTTCTAGCTCGGGGCTTCTCTCGCTCATACTTGGCTCGATTCCAACTGCCAACTGCCTCAAGTCCGAATCGGAAACTTGACGCCGGATGCGGGACATGACGGCGGGCGGGTCCCAGGCCACGCGTCGTGTCCCTCTCCATTCTGCTTGGTTTGCTTCTGCTAGTTGTTTTTGCTTCTTACTTTTGCTTTGGACGCCTTGGAGCGAGCCACCTCGTGAGTATGAGTAGTTGTGACGCGACTGAGTGCGCCGTGGCAACAGGCCACACCGACAACGCGGCAACGGCGACGACAGCGCTCTTATTGCCCCATGCCATTGACACTGAAGCGCCGTTGCTACACGAAGTGCAAGTCGACGAGTTCGCGGTGCTCACCGCCCGCCACGCCCAAGAAGAACGAGCGCTCACGCAGCTGCATGAAATTGAAGATACGACGTACCAGGCCGTGCTGAGAGAGGCTAAGTACGTCGACGCGGACGTGGCCGACACGGCGTGCCCGACCTACTATGTGGCGCTGTACCTCAAGCACAAGCAAGAGCAGCGTGCACTGCGCAAGAACCAGCTGGCCGAGTCGGTGCTATTTTGCCGCGCCCAGCGCGATCAATACGAAGCGTTCGTGCGCCAGCAGGAGCGCGCACGCGCGGCGCTCGCGGTCAAGCAGCGCCACGAGATGGAGCGCGCCATGCACGACGCCGACGAACCGATCTTTTTCGAGCTCCTGTACCGCGAGCTGCTTGGCGATACCCTGGGCGATACGTAGGTACAATACCACGTAACATGTCAAATTGCCCTTTGCAACACCATGTTATAACACTTTAGGTTTCGGGCCGCACCACCGATCAGTCGCCAACACGCACAAGCACTTTAGCCAACGACCGATACCGAGCAACCGCGTGGTAGCCGCCTATTGCAAGGTCATGACGTCCGCGGCCTCGGTCGCCACCGACGGCGGTGTTCCGACCGGAGGCGCTCGTGGGACAGTCGGCCACTCGGTGTCCCGTAAGTTCAACCATCTGCCAAAGTGCAAAGTGCATATTAATATTCCACTTTCAGCGCTACTCACTGGCTATTTGTAGCTAGAATTGATCGTTTCAATAAAAAACGTGTTTTCGTGGTGGCACGGGTGTTTTATTTGATGATTTGCGATGGCATACAAAGACCAAGATAACATTAAACAACGTATTTTATGTCCCAAGTCCTGGGGCTATCTGACGTCACTCACGGACGCCCCCAGCGCTTCATTTTGCCTTTTGCCAATAAGCTTGCGCTAAGATGCTGCGCTTGTCCCGTTCCCGCATCTTTGCCCGCCACGCGTCGTCCTTTGCGCGCAGCGATGGCACGCCCATGTTCTCCAAGATCCTTATCGCCAACCGCGGCGAAATCGCTTGCCGCGTCCAGCGTTCGGCCAAGAAGCTCGGCGTGCGCACGGTCGCCGTCTACTCGGACGCCGATGCGAACGCGCAGCACGTCAAGATGGCCGACGAAGCCTACCGCCTCGGACCTCCGCCGGCCGCCGAGAGCTACCTCCTCTTTGACGAGATCCTCCGCATTGCCAAGGAGTCGGGCGCGCAGGCCATTCACCCGGGCTACGGCTTCCTCTCGGAGAACGCTGCCTTTGCGCGTGCGTGCGCCGCCGCCAACGTCGAGTTCATCGGCCCACCGGTGCCCGCCATTGAGGCCATGGGCTCCAAGAGGTACATCCCAAGTCGCTACATCGTGTTGCACTCACGTTCATGTGTCTAGTGCGTCCAAGAACATTATGATCAAGGCCGGTGTGCCCGTCACGCCAGGCTACCACGGTGACGACCAGAGCTACGAGCGTATCCGCGACGAAGCGGTCAAGATCGGGTACCCGGTGTTGCTCAAGGCTGTGCTTGGCGGTGGTGGCAAGGTACTTGTGTGCGAGTCGTTTTTCAATCTGACGCGGGATCTAGGGCATGCGCATTGTCGACACTGAAGCCGAGCTCGAAGAAGCGATGGACGCCTGCAAGCGCGAGGCCAAGGCGTCGTTTGCAAGCACGGACATCCTCGTCGAGAAGTACTTGCGCCGTCCGCGCCACGTCGAGCTGCAGATCTTTGGTGACAAGCACGGCAACGTCGTGCACCTCTTTGAGCGCGACTGCTCGGTCCAGCGCCGGCACCAAAAGGTCCTCGAGGAGGCCCCCGCGGTACGACGTCGATCTACGTAGCATCTCGAGCTGACAATATGTTATTGTTGGTAGCCCAACATGAGCGAGGCGCTTCGCAAGAAGATGGGTGACGCAGCCGTCGCAGCGGCCAAGGCCGTCGGCTACGTTGGCGCCGGCACGGTCGAGTTTCTCCTCGACGAAGACGAGTCGTTCTACTTTATGGAGATGAACACGCGCCTCCAAGTCGAGCACCCGGTCACCGAGTTCATCACGCAGCAGGACCTTGTCGAGATGCAGCTCAAGGTCGCGGCCGGCCAGAAGCTGCCGGTGGCGCAAGAGGACCTCAAGATCCACGGCCACGCCATTGAAGCGCGCATTTACGCCGAGAACCCGTACAAGTACGCTCTCTCTTCTCTCTGTTGGAGTCCAAAACTCACACATTTTGGATAGCAACTTTCTGCCCGGTAGCGGTACGCTCCACCACCTGCGCCTCCCGCCCCTCTCGGACTCGGTGCGTGTCGACACGGGCATCCTCCAAGGCGACGCGGTCTCGATCTTTTACGACCCGATGATTGCCAAGCTCGTCGTGCACGGCAAGGACCGCCAGGACGCGCTCGACGGCCTTGTCCGCGCCCTCAAGCAGTACCAGGTGCGACATGTTTGCTCACGTGGTCGCTTGCTGATACCTGTGTTCTTGTAGATTGTGGGTCTCCCGACCAACATTGAATTCGTCGCGCGCACGGCGGCCCACCCCGAGTTTGTCAAGGGCGGTGTCGACACGAGCTTTCTCACCGTACGCGCCTCGTCCTCGACAATAAGAACTGAGTCGCATCGATTTGTAGAAATACGGCGACGACGTGCTGGCGCCGTACCCGTCGCTGCCGCCGCACGCGCCCGTGCTCGGTGCGATCGCGCTCCTCCTGCAGCAGCAGCAGGCCAAGGCGGCGTTCGAGCCGACGACGGCCGGTATTTCTTGTTGAATTTCGGATTGTCCGTCATTTTCGGATTTTACGGTAGATCCGGCGTCGCCGTGGTCGAGCTTGAAGAACTACCGGTCGCTCGAGACGCTGCACCGGACGTTCTCGCTCCAGCACGAGACGCACCCGATGACCTTTGATGTCGCGTGCCTCGCCGACAATGTGTTTGACGTGGTCGTCGACGGCGCGCCGGCGCAGCGCGTGTCCGGCTCGATTGACCCGAGCGGCGACTTTAACCTCGTGATCGACACGCACGCGTACACGGGCACGGCGGTCGTGTACAAGAACGACTTGCATTTGTTTTGCAACGACGGCTCGCTCCGTACGCTGTCTACGTTCTGGTTGTGTGGCTCACCGTAGGGGTAGGGTACGACTACAAGCTCACGATCCCCGAGGCGTCGTTTGATGGCGACGGTGCGGGTGCGGGCGGCGCGTCGTCGCTCGTGACGCCGATGCCCGGCAAGATCATCAAGGTCATGGCCAAGGCCGGCGATACGATCAAGGCGGACCAGCCGCTCTTGATCATGGAAGCGATGAAGATGGAGCACGTCATTCGCGCGCCGCGGGACGGTGTCGTGGGCGAGATGAACTGTGACGTCGGCGACTTTGTCACGGACGGGCACGTGCTCGTCGAACTCGCCAAGGACGAGTAAGCCCTTGCTTGATGGCCCCTACTTGTACAACACCATGACCTGTTTCGATAACAACCACGGCGCGGAATAGAGCTACTTACTGCGTTCCATCTGTATCTTATTTGATTCGACCTGATTTGGTCTTCTCGAGCGACGACGCGTGCTCTGGCGCGAGGCGATCCGTGGCGACGACACGGTAGATCCGCCTCCTTCTACGCCCAGGAAGAGCCAGCAGCCTCCCATTCGATCGTCTTTCATTTGCGTACTTTGCCACCTGATCTTACGTCGCTGGCTTGGTCACGCAACCAACGACACGGCTCTCCGAAGCCACGCGCCAGAAGCCACCAAGGAACCGAGCCCGCACCGTGCAGTTGCCGTCGTCACCCAGTAAACGCAACAGCCGACATGACATGGCTGCTTGACACGCCACGCCCATGGCGAAGCGACGGAGAGCGCAAGTCACGGCGCGGTAACGGCGTCGCCTGACGCGGCGACGGGTGCGTCGTCGCTGCGGTCGTGCGAAGACACGGGTGCACCTGTACTGTGGCAGTCTGTGTCAAGTGCGTGGTAACGCTGCTACTTGCAGCAGTCGTCGGCGTTGGCGCCACCGCGTTACCTGCCACTTTTGCGTCAGTGCAATGTCAGGGGCCAATCACATGCCGAGTGCCCGTTGGCCGACGTCGCTGATTGGCCGATTCAAACGGCCCGACGACAAATGTGTCAACTTGACCCGACCACCGCCTTGCACATGGCGACGGACGGACTTGCGTTACGCGCACGACTTAGTCGAACGCACGGCTTTGCTTAGATTTGGAATAGTGCCCTCTCCGTCATGAAGAGTGAGAGCTGCGACTTCAAGGGCTGCCACCGCCCGATCGACGCGGCCAGTGGCGCCAAGCGCACGTGCGCCGTGCACAAGTACCGCCGCCACTGCGCGATCCCGCTCTGCACCAACCAAGTGTACGCGCGCAAGCTCTGCGCCCGCCATGGCGGCAAGCGCACGTGCAAAGTCGACCGCTGCTGCGCGCCCACGACCGGCCGCGGCGGCTTTTGCTCGGTCCACGGCCCCGCTCGGAATCGCTCGTCGGCGCGGTCGTCGTCGGCCGTGAGCGCCGACAGCACGAGCGACGAGAGCGACGACGCGCGCTGGTCGCCGCTCGCTTTTCGAACCGACTCGGACCCGTTGCTGGTCGAGGTCTCGGCCGACATTCTCAGCCTCATCCTCGAGCTTGACAGCACGCCGGCGCGGTGACATGCCATCGATTCTCCGATGCCAGACGGGAGTTGCTGTTGTCGTCTCTCATTATTTAATACAAAGCTGCAAGACATGTTGCATCACCATCGTCTACGACGACGCCCAGGCCGGCTTGGTCATGTGCGCGCCGCGGCCGATCCCAGCCGTCGGCGGCGTAAACGCTACGGGCGGCGGCGACGACGCCTCGAGTGGAGCGTACTCGTCGCCGTAAAACGTGTCCACCAAGTAGGCGGCGAGGCGCCCGTTCTCTCCGTGATCGTGCTCCTGGATGTACTCGAGGCCATCGATACCGCCGACCTCTTCGATCAAGTAGACGCTGCGGGGTACGTGGGCCAGAACATGGTGCAGAAAATGAAGGGCATTGCCGACCACAGTCACGTCAGCGACTAAGATGGACGACATGCGGATGGAACGAAGCTATCGCGAGCTCGTACCCGACAGAAGACCAACGTACGTCTCCAGAACATGGTCAAATGCGAGGACGCGGTCGAGGTCGGCCGCCGAGGCGCGGCCAATGTTGGCGAGTGCAAAGCTCGCCTACGCATAGCACCATTCGTACTGAGAGGACTTGATACGCAGCGCGGCCGCGTACCTCCTTGCGCACGTCGTAGGTGCCGCTGAGAAAAGCGTGTACGAGCGGAGAGAGAAGGTCGTACTCGAGCACAAGACGCACGTTGGCTTCGCTCTGGCCGGCGACGTTGGCCAGCACCCACGCCGCCTCGGCCACGACGTGCCTATGACAGGGTTCCGTCACGTTGGTGATGTATCGTACACGCAATACGAGTCGGTGCACGTTTGAAGCACGCGCCGGAGAAAGTAGAGGAACCGGGGCTCCGCGACGAGCGCGTGCACGTGCGGCAGCTGCCAGCTGTCGGCATGGTGGTCGGCGGCGATGCACACAATGTTGCCGATGACGCGCAGAAGCGGCGTGAGCACGAGCTCGTCCGTCGTCTCAAAGTACGCGACGACGCCGGTTGCGAGGCCATGCTCGAGAAGCCACTGCAGCGCCTTGTCTTCTTTGGCCGTGAGGAAGCTGAGCACCCAGAGCAGCTCCTGCGTCACTTCCATGTTGTCACGCGCATGGAGGAGCTCGAGGAGGATCGGGCCAATGTCGTGGTCGAAAAACGCTTTCGCAGGCGTCTGCGTGCCCCGCGCCATGTTGGAGAGCGCCCAGAGACACACTGCAGGTGACGAGATGAGAGAAGGCGGACGGCGGGCAAGTACCTTTGACCATCTCGTGGTCGTGCGGGCCGTGGCGCAGGTGCTGCACAAGCGGCGCGACCGCGCCTTGGCGAATCAAGTGCAAGCGAAACTCTTCGCAGTCGGCCGCAATGTTGCCGAGCGTCCACGCCGCGTGCTCGGCCAGCTCGGTGTTCTACATGGGTCGATGCCATCAATTGGTCGACAGAGTGAGTACGTACCGCCAGAAAGTTGAGCAGCGTGGGCACCGCCGGCAAGACGCACTTGGTGTGTTCGTAGAGCCCCGACGTGATGTGCGTGAGGCACCATAGCACTTGGATGAGCTCGACGGTCGTCGACGACGGCCGCTCGAGCAGCTGCAAAAGAATCGGAATGACGCCCGACTCGGCGACCTTGTCCATGCGCTCGGCGTTGAAGACAGAAATGGCAGTCTTGAGGCCTTGCAGCGCCGAGAGGACGCGGCCCTCGTCCTCGGACGTGAGTTCAAGGAGCAGTGACTGGAACTCGAGGTCGTTGACGTCCTCCATGTCGTGGCTGGGCAGGCGGCGCCGCTTGTTCAGCGCCGACTGTTTGGACTTGCGCACCGAGTCGGCGTGGGCCACGCGGCCGCGCGTGCCCTTCTTGAGCGTGCCCTTGGCCTTGATCGATTCGCGTTGCATCTTCAAGCTCCCAGTTTGTGCGATGGAAACAGCTCTCAAGAAGACGGCTAAAAACACGCCATTTGCAAGATGTGCATAGACGCTGCGGCACACGAGGGCCGTTTATGCAACGTGCAGGTCGTACGCGACAGGCTTCTGTGCCGTGTGCGACAGCACATCCGATTCTGTAGTTGTAATTGCATTGTCGTCGGCCTCACACTGCGTACAGGTGTAGCTGCGTGCAATTAGCTCGTTGGATACCTTGCCGTTACCTTTGTTAAATGATATTGAGCCAAAATGCAGTTCCAAAGGTTTGAACACCTCTTACAGCGCATAATAAATATATTAAAAGAAAGAGGTTTTCGGGCTTGAATGACGGTCTGGGACTGCAGCACATGGCGCCGTCTGATTCAAAACCAGGTGGAGACTGGATTCGCTCCTTCGAATCTCGACGACGTTGGCGTGCGTACACCCAAGCTGGCGCTGCGGAACACGTTGCCTTGACTTCAGCAAAAGAACCTGCTCTCTAGTCAATGCAGAAGATGCGAGCCGGAGCTGTGTGCAATGCGATCAGTCCGTCTCTCTGTCTCTCGTCGGTCGCGAGGGGGCGCGAATATGTGCCATCAGCCTATCACATTGCGGAAATATTTGCCACCGCGGTGTGGCTTTGAAAAATGCGATGGATTTATCCTCGCAGATCGTCTCATCCACACCGCCTTGGTGTCGGAGCCTTGAGTCTACAATGTACCATCGTGTAGCTGCTCCTGTCTATTGGAGGTCGTGCGAGCCTCGTAGAGCTCCCATAGAGTAGATGGATGACGTGGGTGCTCGTGATTGTGCAGCCGATCCCACGCAACGTCGTGTTGTGTGCGCGCGGTTGAAGCAAAGACGTCGACTCAGGCGCCCCCAAACTCAGACGCGACCTTGTTGAAGTGCGCATGCACTGCAGAGGTATTATTATCTGGTAAAACTAGACTACCGCTCTGTCAAGTGTCGTCTGAGTTGCTGCTCGGTGCTTGACGATCACAGCCATCCAGGTGGCGCTGCTTCGTGCATCTGAGAGCTCTGAGAGCGCCCTTCCCGACCGCAGCACGCAATCGGTATCAGAACCGACACCATTGTCGTCTTTTGTTGTCGGCTTCCGAACGCTGTATCCAGCGACCTGTGCACACATGCACATCGGGTTACAGCTCGCAAAACCGACATTCTTCAGAGTTGACGCGAGTCAGCCCCGTCGCTCCGACGAAGGAAACGGCTTGCCACTCCGTCACACGATCAGAAGCCGAGTGATTGCGACCGAAACGGCGCTCTCTGCTGGACGCTTGCAAGGACTTTCTCTCTAGTTCTCTAGTCCCTTTTACGAATATAGACCTCTACTATCATCAGCAGGTCTTCGCAAGGGCACCATTTCTACCGCGACCGCACGTGCGTCGGCCTCAACTCGTTGCACACGTGTTACGTCGCCCCCCTCCGGTTGAATATTCTTGTGCAGTTGGGCATGATCCATTTTGGCCAATCACAAGGCTCCATGTCACCCAGCTGGTCGTAAAAAAGCCGACTTTTCTAGATCGCGTCCAATCGGAAACACGGAATCTTTTGAACCCAACCGCTTTTTTTATTTATGCGTAGCTTGGTGTTTGTATGCTGTGAAATAAAATACACAACCCCGTGCCGGAATCAGCACGCCCATCTGGATCTCCGCCGTGCACTCGAGCGTATTTTTATTCTCCACATACAAATCGCAAGATGTCTGGCAAGGTTTTGGCATTGTATTGCCTTTCAGTGTCGCTTCGAAATCTGCGGTCAATTTCGAATTTGAGCGCAAAGCCCGAGACCGTCCATGTCGACGATCAAGACGCATCCCCCGACGCTCCAAGCGGCCAAGAAGCAAGCAGATCTCATTCGCGTCAAGGAAGAGTTTGTCTTGCCCAAGGTGACCCTGGCCGCCATGCCCTCGCCGGCCAAGCTCAAGATCCCGGCCCCGGTCGTGCGCAAGGACAAGCGCAAGGCCATGGTGCAGTCGCCGCTCGGCAGCGACTGCAGCTCGAGCTCGTCGACGAGCTCCAAGAAGCGCAAGAACACGAACGACGGCCTCTTTGACAATGACATGGGCAGCGCGGAAGAAAAGATCAAGGAGATGGAGCGCCAGCTGTTGAGCCTCGACCCCGACTCAAAGGAGGCCAAGAAGAAGCGCCGCCTCATTCGCAACCGCATGTCGGCGCAGCTGCACCGCGAGCGCAAGAAGGCGTACGTGGTGCAACTTGAAGAGCAGCTCCAGGCCAAGGACGACGAGATGTCCAAGATGAAGGCGCAGCTTGAGGCGCTTCTCGCCGAGAACAAGCGCTTGAAGCATGACGACGTCATCAAGGTGGAGAAGGTCGACACGGTGGTCGCGGCGGCGGTTCCCAAGGCGGCGGCGGTCGCTGCCTTTGCCGAGCCCATTGCGCCGGTGCAAGCCGATATTATCTCGGACGCCGAGTCGTTTATCTACGAAATGGACTCGGAGCCCGAGCACTGGGACTCGTCGATCTTGAACGACTTGGACATTAGCTCGGAGGACCTCATGTTTGCCGAGCCGGCCGTTGCGCCGGCGCCGGCGCGCCCGACCAAGACGGTCGAGCACGACTCGTTTGCGGCCAAGAAGAACGTGGCCATGATGATGGCGATCGTCTTTTCGATGACGTTCTTTGGCGGCATGATGTCCATCTTCGACTCGTTCACGACGGGCAGCGCCACGAACGGCTTTTGCTCGTACTTCAAGTCGTACACGCCCAAGCTTCTCTCGGAGATGAGCGTCAAGTCGCGCGTGCTCTCGGACCTGGACGGCACGACGTGGATGGACTTTCCCGAGCTCGACGAGCCCGCGCAGAAGAGCGACAAGTCGTCGAACGAGCAGCAGTACGCGGGTGGCATTCCGTTTGACGATCTTCTCGACACGGACTTTTCGCTCACGTTTGCGATGCCCCTCGGCGACGACGACGAAGAGGAAGACGACGACATGGGTCTCTCGCCGTCGAGCGAGTCGGGCGACCACACGTCGGAGGAAGAGGAGTCGGACGACTCGGAAGCTGCCTTTACGATGGTCGCCAAGAACAAGGACGTGTCGTACGCCAACCTCACGCGCCTTTGGTGCGAGAAGCGCCACGTGCTCTGCACGCTCGCGACCCAAGGCGACGCAACGCTGCGCCGCGCGGTCGTCGACATGAGCCACGTCAACGACACGGTCAGCATGGAGTCGTCGTTTGCGGACGTGCTGGCCTCGTTTACGATGGGCGACGACGACCCCAAGGTCATCGGCTCGTCGGAGAAGCAAGTGCTGAGCTTTCTTTACCCGATGGGCGTCTTCTCCAAGGAGATGACGGATGCATCTGCCGTCCTCGACCCGATGCCCTTCATGGAAGTTGCCTGTCATATTTAGAGCGTGCCATTTTGCCTAGCTGTTAGACCCCATTTATTATTATCAATCCGCATGTATCTCTACCCTTCCACTACCTCGACCTCATCTTGCCTCGTCTTCCTTGCCTCGTCTTCCTTGCCTCGTCGTCCTTGCGCTGGCGTGCTGCCGCATGGGGCTGGTCGGCCTGGCGGCGCGAAAATATGGGCTGCATTACACACGCTGGCGAACGGGGTCCTTGTTTCGAAACTTTGAGGACCTTTAAATTCGGA